ATAATGGTCATGGTAACAATAATTATGATGACAGTGATATGATACTGAGGTACAGCTGAATAATGATAATATCTTCAGGTGATAGTTAGTTATTTGTGATTCTTTAAGGCACTGATAATGATTATTGAAGGTACCATTAACTTGTTAATTTGCTAATTATATTTGTAATGGTTGGCAATTTTGAAAAGATCAGCAAGAAGAAGATAGCATGCAAATTCAAATAGCATGCATTCGGAATCGCTTTAGTTCACAACAGCCTCTTCATTAAACTTAGTGGTATGTCCATATATCTGTCGGCATGCTCACTTTTGTTTGGTATGGTCTAAAGAAATTTAAGGGTCAGAGATAATACATTTTGGTCATTTTGTTGTAAACTGCTCTGGTAATAGAAGAAAGAAAAGGCAAGAGAAATGGCCTTGAGGAACAATTTCTCTATCGAAAATGGACCTCATCTTATAATATTGACAGAAAAAGTGATTTTTATCCATTTGTTTGCTCAAGTGTCTGTTCAATTATTCATTCCTATAATTATCTCATGGAAATTCTTTCATATCGGATCACCTTACAATCATTTTCCAGAATTTCAGCCAACTATTGCATTGATGACCACTTAAGTTAATGGTCACCACCAATTCACGCTTCCAAAGGTTGTGTTATCAGTTTCCAGCAGTGACCTTTCTACTGACAGAATAGATTTATCACAAATCTTCGAACCATTCTCTCTTAATTGCACAAGTCTTGTTCATTAAAGTAGTTTACTTTTGTGTTTTTCCGGAATCGAACGAAGTTTACAGATATTTTTGGAACAATTTTTGGAAAATATTTGGTAGAAATTTTTGGCTTCTATCAAACAATCAGGAAACTTTCACTTCAAATTCTTGGATTCGATTCTTCAACTCTTACAAATCTTACGACTAATTTGTCATTTCATTTAATTAACCGGTTAATAAGTTTTCTGAAACAGTCTCTTTGTTCCAAATTGCCTTCAAATTTGGTTGGTGCAACGAAGTAAACTTAACAATGTAAGCACAATGCTATTAACAATTAATCATAACCTGAGAGAATAAAAGTTGAAGAATGCTGAAATATGTTGGAAAATAACCCATTTGAAAGTAAGAATGAACTTATTTCAATTGAATAAACTGTAATTAGGAGTTAAAGTAACAATCGAAATGAAGCATAAGGTTAGACTGAAACTACACATAAATGATTTTTGAAAGTTGGCATTGAGGAAGAAATTTTGAGTCATAGATTTCAACTATAAAAAAAGTTCTCGGAAAAAAGAAAAGTATCGTAATGCTTTCTTTTTGTTAACCAAAAATTGATGCAATGTTTCTTTTTTGTTAACAAGATTGGAGTAAAGGAACCATTTGGCTTCTTTTAGTTTCATTAGCTGAACACGGGACAAAAGCGCATGAGACATATGCAAATTATGTCATCATCATTTTTTTTTTTTTTTTTTTTTTTGTTTACAGCGTGTTCAATGACATGCACTTTTCTTAATGTACCGTGAAATGTTTTAAAGAAGAGTGAACCGTGAATGAAAAATAAGTGATAAGAAAAGCAAAATCAATAAAGTAATTGGAGAAAGATGAGATTACCAATGGATTCAATCTATCAAAGAATCAATTTACTGAGATATTTTCACTTCAATGATAACCTCACTTTCTAGCAATAATTGATAACAATCATCCGACTATGCTTATTTTATTTGTCGAATCATTGTCACATATGGTACCATTATATCTGATGCTGCTTACGGAATATATATTCTTTTAATGTAGCTTTTAGCTTCATTAAGATTCATTAAGAAATTAATTGTGCAATCCAAAAATGCAAAAGCATATACAATTACTGCGAAGTTACTGAACATTCCCATAAAATCATAATTAAAATATGAATAACGAAGGTATGCATAAATCTTCTTCGTCTTGCCTCAGCAACAACTCAATTTAACTTAGTTTTCCTATTCATACTTCTTTTGTGTTAATGAATGCATGCAAATTTCCTACAAAAAATTTACATCCTTTAAGTAATCGATTGATAAAACTGATAAGTAAAATGATTTGTTCATAGTGTTAAACAATTTATTGCATAATCCTTGAGAAATAAGTAATAATTTTATACAATTGTCTATTTTTTTTACAATTATTGTGCTAATTTTGAAATTTAAAAAAAAAGATGGTTTAAAATGATAGCAGTAACAATGGCCTTTTTAATATGACGAAATGTGCAGTGACGTACCTTGAATATATAATATCAAATAATGTCAAATGAGGCAGAAAAATAATGTCCGCCTATGACAACATCTGTTTGATTGAGAACTTCTCATATTGCTGGTTTTAATTTTGATGATGTGAAATGGCGACGAAATGTGAATTGTCAAGATGCAAGTGAAACTGAAATAAGTTAATGATCAGCGATTTTTTCGAGATTTTCTGAGGACGAGAAAGAAGCTTAAACTATGCCAATCTCGACATTTCAGTTGTCTCATTAATAAAAGTGATTGATGCAAGAAGATAACTGTTTGCATGATCTCTTTAAACCATATCAATAGGGTAAAGACCTTAAATTATGACATTAAAAGGATTTTTAATAATTTACAAAGAAATGATAAGTATTCCTTGCAATGATAAATAAATGTGTTAATGATTTAACAGAGATATGACTCATGATCGAATAGTATGACTCATTATCGAATGTGAATCTGATTTGTTCGTTGATTAATTTTTTTTTGAAAAAAAAAATGTTTATAATTAATTAATTTTCTATTATCACTTTGTTCACTTCTACTTGATAATTTTTTAAATACAAAAAAGTTTTGAAAATTTTTGATCTAAAAAAAGTTAAAAACAGACAATCCTAATTAATAACAAGCAATATTACGAGTTTTTGATGAAGGATGAAAAGTATTAAAAAGGATGCTGTAAAATTTCGTCATCTGTCATTCTGTCATTTGATTTTAGAAAGGTAATAGCAATGGAGCGGAGTTTTGAATAGTTCACATAAAAGTCATGATTTATTAAGTCTTAAAAATATATCCACTAATTAAAAATTGCGCAAAATTAAAAGTATATATGGTAATATACACTCAATAAATCAAAGATGGGATATAATGATTACAACATATTAATAAAGCAATAACGATTCACATATAATAAGATCAAAGTCATTTCCCTTTCACCGATGACATTATGGAGACATTTACGATCGAAATTCTGCATTCATACATAACATTGTAAAAGAGCATTTGATACTGATCAATAAGCTTGAGTGACCATTGTGAAGTTTATTGCATGAATTTAGATTAAGTGGTCAGTTTGCTGAATATACTGCTTCTTTAAATGCTTCATCTCCTTCTACATACTTATTTGTTTAAGTAAAGACTTTATGATAGAATTTGAAATATTAATCTGTTTCCTGAAAATAAGGAAACAATTGAGGGTAATGGAGGAAAAAATAAGCGTAAGTGTTGGACATTGTGGCCTTGACCTACACATTGTCATTTCTTTCGGAAGAGTAAGCAATACAATTTCAGGGCCTTCTGAGAAAGAAAAGGGGTTGTTTCTTGAGCGTCGTTCATTATAGCATATAGTGCCCTTTTTTGATTTTAAAATTGTCTTAAATTAAAAATAAGTTTCAAAAAGATCAATTTTTATATGAAAATCGTTAAAATTTTCGAAGATTAGATCTCACACTTTCTATTAATTGTTGTATAATCAAAATTTTTAAATTCCTTTAATTTTAAATTTATTAAATTCCCAATGAAAAGTATATGAAATTATTTTTGTGCATGAAATTTTCCAAGCTTTTCCACCAGCAATAATTAAAAATTTTAATAAATCTTCAATCTTGATTTTTTTTCTCAGTAATTTCTACTAAATTCTTTCACACATAGTTCAAATAAACTTTTTTGCATTTCTACATAATCATATCATCCTACCCCTATTCCATATCCCAGCAAGCATAACTTACACTCATTCATAATGATTAATATATTCCGCATATTACTGTTAACAACTCCCTGAAGTGATAACAAATGTGGTATTGAAAAACATTGGTGTGTATTCCTAGAAAGTGAAAAGGAATTGTTACAGTGTTCCTAACTATTAATGGTATATTATGCGAATATATTAGACAAAATATTTCGATATCATATGACATTATGAATTTTTTCCTCATCACACGTGTGTTGACATTTCCATGGACTAAATTTAATCTGACAATTTTGATGATCCTATGATTACGTAAACAATTACTATCTTTTAAACATTATTAATCTTTTGGTTCTTTCAGGTATTCCTACCTTATTTTCATATCATTCATATGCTTATGTAATGCATGCACATTATACAAAGATACAACTAATTTCTCTTGTCTGTAAAAAATCTCTGAATAAAAAAAAAAACGAAAATAAAAAGGCTGATGACACTACGGTACTGGAAGATGTCATACTTCTCATCATTATCAACCTTGTGCCGACCGACCTTTCCGGTTTTTTTTTTCTTTTTAATCAAACAGTTCTATTTGGCTGTCTCCGAAAAACATCTGCTTTATTTCTTGTTCTGGAATGTAGTAATGCCAATATAATTTATTGCATGATTTCGTCATCATCCACAACATACCCTGTCAGTACAGAACACTGCACATGCAGCAATGTCACAAACACACATACCGTGTCATTCATCAATATCACCATATTACTAGCACCATTCCTGTCACTGCTATCACTATCGTTATCACCATCATTACCCTTCTCTTGCCTACTCTATCCAAATCAACTAAACACATAGGTTCAATCATCAGCCAATATTTCATTCCTTTCTCTATTACCAAGCATTCCTAATGACTTCTGAACTTATGGTTTAAAATTTCTATTCAAATCTAATATTCGGATATTTCAGCTATTTGAGTGACATTTCAATTCAAAATAGAGTTGTTTTACAGGAATTTTTCATCATTATCGGAGTGGAAGTGAAAGTATAGGAGTAGAAAAGAAAATGAATGCTAAGAAAGGAGAGGATGGACAGGAAAAGGAAGAGCAAGAAAAAGTAATCCGAGCTGATATTTGTTCCGCAATCCGGAATGGCTTGATAGAAATGATGATCAATTCTGCTAAGAAGCAACTGTCTATCAATGCCCCATCTGCTGATTTCAAAATCCGAATTAAAGCAGAATTTCGTGGTGAAAAATTTTGTTTTGAAATGGATCGACCGTTAGTGTTTGATGAATTACAAGTACATCTAAATTCAAGATGTAACCTGAAATTGAATATTTACTACACTTTGCGTAATCATGAACTGATTGTACCGATACGAAATCAATTGGAGTTAGATCGTGCAGTAGAATTAGTTGATCTAGATCGTACGTCACATCAACGAAGTTTGCGTCTGCTACTGTCCCGATACCAACCGGATAGTCGATTGTCAACACGGCTCGCATGCTCACTGATTCCGGATGCATCTGGAACATTCTCAGTACAATCGAAAATTATTGAGGTTACTTTTTTGATTGCATTAGCGCAGTTTTGTTACGGATATTGACCAACTGCTGAATTTGATTTAAAATAGTTATTTCGCTTTATTTCAATATCATTTTTGGCATACCAATAAGAAATATTTTAAAAGGGCTTGAAACAAAAAGAATAAAAAAACAGAAACGCTCGATTACCAATTCACTTTTCAATTCGATCAACGATCGTTTAATAGTTTGTTTAGTCATTTACGAGCAAATTCAGTTAATCGAATGTTTTTGATAGGAAAAATCATTTCAATTATTTGAATTTTAAGTTGGAAATAATGAAAAAATGATAATAGGAAGGTATGCAATGCATAAAAAAAGTAGCAAAACATATTGAAAATCAGAAATAATATACAAATATTCAGAAATTAGCGCAGAAAAGGACCAAGTATTTCAATGTATTAATAAAAGTCCAAACGATCGAATATTACGTTAAATTTGGAAAGGCAAAAATTTCATTGTTCTTCATTTATCATTTATCACGTCATATCAATTAATTTAAATTTAAAGAATTAAAAAGATCCAAAGCCTTAAAAAATCAATAAGAAAAACACATGCATATATCTGCCCCTCTATCAGATATCCCGAGCTAGAATTATGAACCTTGTTGTTTGGCCTCCGAATCCAAATATTAAACCCAAGAATTTCGCCCATCGATTTTACTTGTTTCTGTTTCAGGAACATTGAAGAAACTGAATGGTGAAAATTATCCCTTCCAGATTTAAACTTTTGATAAATAGCGATAAAATAAGGCGAAACAATGTGATAATAATAATTTCATTATTCTCATAATAAAAAATTTAAATTTAAAAATGATTTTTACTTAACATTAACAAATGTATCAAAATTTAGTTTGCAGATTCCGTATTGGGAATGTCGGTCATCCTGCGCCAGTACAAGTACCGGAATGATAAGTAGTTCTAGGCAAAATGGTAGCAGTGTTAGTAGTGGTGTGGTACTTGCTGATTTCGATGAACACTGTCAAAAGGATACGAGCACACCATCTGCACCAACTAACTGGAAACAAGGCAAATGCATTGGTTCCGGAGCATTCGGCAAAGTTTATGTATGCGTTGATGTGGATACTGGAAAAGAAGTGGCTCTGAAGAGGTTGATCACAAAGTTGTTACCTAGTAGTTAGCAAACTGCAATGGTTTTTCGTGTTATTTGGGTGCAAAGTGAAGTTTTATCAGTTAGACTTCTCATTATCATAAGGCAACTTATCAGCACGTGTATACATAAAAAGTAATTGACCAAAACAGACTAAATTTAAGATAAGTTAAGTCCGGAAATTTGATTATTAAATACTTAAATTTCATTACAAGGAAGGAAAGAAGTATCACTTTGGGAACGAAATATGATGCCATCGATTGTAAAAAGCATGTAATGTTTGATTTTGGGGAGTGTCGAATGCTCAGTGTGATTATGCAATAATTTAATGAGACTAGACTAGCTTAAAATGCTATAATTAATTACATTCACTCTAATTGTTAGGTTGCTTATTCCAAATTAATAAATTGAGAAGAAAAATGCAATGCGATAAATTATAGAATGCAATTCAGAAAGATTTCCGGAGACGTATTCAGAAAGATTGCCGGAGACGTGTGTGTCATACTTTCTGCTACTGTAATATTGCCATTGATTTATAAAGGAGAAGCAGAAGAGTTCAGTCTAAAAAACTGCTCAATGGAAGAAGGATTACATTTGAAAATTTGTTGATGTTTGCTTGAAAAATTGTATTTCCCATTGGGAATCATTAACTATGTTTGCAGTTGTTGCTGATTTAAATATGGATTGATTTAGATTTTGCGATCTAATTACTGATTAAAGTTTCAGATTTAATATTTGTCGTGGTGACAAACATTTAAAGAATCATATAATCCAGCTGGGAAATGAAATTAATTTGTTAAGTACCATACAACATGGCCGAATTGTCCAGTATCTTGGTGCACAGCAAATCGATGATTCCATTTGTATATTTATTGAATATATGACCGGTGGATCGGTAAAAGATTGCATTGCTACTTATGGACCGTTGAGTAGTGCGGTTGCAGGCAAATATACTTATCAAGTATTACAAGGTTTGGAGTACTTGCACAGGAATGAAATCATTCACCGGGATATTAAACCAGCCAATATTTTACGCGATTCTAATGGTAATGTAAAAATAGGTGACTTTGGTTCAGCGAAACGATTGCAAACAATATGCAGTCAACAAGGTAAGCTTTTACAATGAATTTAACAGCATTTTGAATGGTTTTTTAATGGTTGTTTTTAAAAAAAATTTCAGAAAACAATAATTCTTAGTCCGAAATGTTTGGGGTAATGCTAAGTAATGTTGGGGATAATGAATGGAATCTCTGAAGGTATAATACAAGTCTAGTTGATATTAATAGAAGCAGGTAAAGTTTTGTAAGATTCTTTTTGTGATATCACCTCATTAGTACTAGTCAGGCAATCCAGTCCCATTACCACAATTGATTGTCTATTAGGTATAAATTAATCAGTCATTTACGAATCATTCGCTAAGCCATTCAAAATAACAAACATATTGAACCTTTTTAAAAGTTCATTTATTTAATTAGTTGAGGCTGCATTGATGAATTTGTACATAATTTCTATGTCCATAGCTTCGACATTCATTGGTACACCGAATTATATGGCACCAGAAGTAGTACTTGGACGTACAAAGCATGGACGTAAAGCGGATATTTGGAGTGTTGGTTGTACCCTAGTCGAAATGTTAACGACGAAACCACCATGGGATGATCTTGAGCCAATGGCTATCATTTTCAACATTGCCCACCATAATCCCAGTTATGAACTACCGTTAGAAGCCGACCCTGCTTTAGCTTACCTTGTAAGTACGATATTTGAACGTAACGTAGAGAAACGACCCAGTGCATCACAACTGCTCAACAATATTGCTTTCCAGAGATTTCTGAATACTTCCTAAACGTCTTATTTATTACCGTTTAATTATTCAAAATTTGAAGCCTTTTGAAGAACTACAGATTCTTTATACTTCTCAAAATATCTTGAGAAGGAGCTAAATCAAAGAACTGGAAATTAATTATTCCTATGAGAAGAGAATTTATAGGAATTGCCTAAGAGAAATTGATGCATTTTCAATGGATAAACTCTTTTAAATTTTAATTTATTCAAATTTCTAACTTTTCAATCCTAAAACGCTATATTATAATTCGTCTTGAACAAAGTATTATTTGTATATATGTAGTGAATTGCATTATTTGAATGAAATTATTCGGAGCAATATTTGCTCGTACTATTGGTTTATGGTTGGTGATAGTTTAAAGGTGAATCACGTATCTAATGCTAATTAGGGAATAACATACAGATCTCAAATTACAAATTATGTGTGAGACTTTGAACAAAGTGATTAATTGAATCTTTAATTTTGGCATAATTATACACTTCCAGATTAGTATTTTACTGAGTTTATGAGACCTGTTGTAACCTGTTGCTTCTAGGTATGTGACTGTGGTGGCTTCTCAGTAAACTCATTTAAGCACCAAGTAGTGTCACCACTCTGTTCAGAAAGTCATGTATTCATTTCTAATAACCTTATAAGGTACAACCTTGAAACATATAAACTGTCCTAGCTCTAATTTTCTTCGGACCATTTAACGATAGTCTCTAGACCACATAAAGCTGAAGGCTTTCAACCACCAAAAATTGAAGAGTTTGGAAAAAAAGTTATTTCCAAAGTACAAATGCGGCAAAATGTCTGGAAAAGCAGAAGTTCTTAAAAGAAATGAGCAACAATGGAAGAAAACTGATAAGAATTAAAAAATCATTTGGAATTTCAAAGAAACTGAATAATTTAGAATTTTCAATTTTGTTTTGAAAATGAATTCGAAAACAACGCTCCTTACCAAATGTTGAACTTGACCTTTCAGTTAATTAAGTGGTATAGTTTAATAGTGTTTGTAGCTCGATTAATAGGGAGAAAATTTCACTGTAGTAAAAAAGGAATTTCGAAAACGAGAAAAAGCGCATCTTCGAGATTCCAAAGGTTCCAACGATATCTTCGAGAAAAAGAAAGTGATGCTATAAAGCAGTTGAGAGAACTTATAGAATTTTGGAAAATGAGGGAAGCAACTTTGTGTGTTAAGCTTAGTTGTAGTTCCAAGTTGCTTAATATTCTCATTGATTTTGTTTTCAGCAGAGATGTCGAATACCTTGCGTAAATCCGACAGATTAGAAAATCGAAAGAATGAATCGAATTTAAAGGCCTAGAAGCCCGGCATCCCATTGCGTGAAAGTTTAAGGATTCAAAAGCGACTTGTTTTTCGAAATTGAACTTATACCCTTATACCCTGGAAAAACTTCGGGTGTAAACTCAGTCGTATCATGTAAGTCAAACTTTGAATCAACGATGGGAACGACCAAGCACCGTTTCTCTGAGGTAATCAGGACGGTCAATGAACTTCATACATGCAACTCACTTGAAATCATCGCTTCTTTAAAATATGGTGTCCAGCGAGTGATAAGCTGCGTATGCAAATCAAAATGCTTAAACTGTCTCGTCATAATTTAATGAAATCTAATGATTGACATGTCGAAGGTATAACCTAAACAAAAAGTAAGCTAACAGGCAAACATAGTCCTTAGTAAGCAAAAAAGGAAAAAAAAGAAGTTATCTCCATATGATCATTTCCAATACAGTTAGACGATACAGCCAACAAAAATCTTTCATTTATTTTTTGACTGTTACGATACATAAAATTTTTTGAACATTTTTTTTGCAATAGTTTTTCATATATATAAACTTTTGACAATAGTGCAATAACAAGTTCAACATGTGTTATTGCTAAAGCCATCCAAAAATGAAACATTTTCCCATCGTACGCCTAGCCAAAAATACAAATCCTTTCAATAAAAGTACGAAATTATCATCTTTTAATGGTACAAAACTTTTGAAGTAAAACATATTCATCTTGTCTTGCACTGAATTTTAGTCATATTTGTTTAAGAAACAGCAAAGAATAAAACGCTGAAGCTATTGATAAAAAGAAAATATTTCAAGTTGTTAGATATGAAACATATGCGCGAAATACAAGTCTGAAAGTAAATGTCGTTGTTTTTTTCTTCCTATTTGACCTTTTCTGAAGCAATGAACATTCTCAAGTATGATAGCTGTAATGAACGTTCCAAATCTGCAAGTTGTGCCACTGCTCCCGACAGCTGTACTGCGTGTCCCTCGTAAAGAGAGCCTAAAAAGAACTGGAATTTCCTTACGGAATTTAAAATCAGAAATATATTGAAGCGATTAAAATCTTATGCAAATAAAGGAACATTACATCATAAATCTATAAATGAACATAATCTAATAAAAGTCGAAACATTAAGGAATGGAAAAGGTGAATAAAAATAAAAATTACCATACCCGTATTAGTTCGCTTTGCTCCGTAAACAACTTTACCATCGAATTCATCAACTGGTACGATGAAATCAGTATCGATCTGTGGAACTGTTACACCCAAATGCTCTTCAATATCTTCCAAAAGCTGAAATTCAATAATGCAGAATTTACCCGTTTTTGCAGGAGTAATTACGAGAACTGAATAAGGAAACTTAAAAAAACTCTGCAGGAAAATGACACCAATCGACACTAATCACCGCATCAGTAGTATCAAAGATCGCAGGAACATACAAAAAATTAGCTAATTTTCAAATTTCCAATAAAAAAAAATTCAAGTCGATTGGAAAACGAACTTTCGGTTCGTCATACCAAATTGCACAACCACGTTGTGTTATCAAAGCCGTATTGAAACAATTAACACCACGTGAAGGACATTTATGATACCATACTTTTTCGGGATGTGCCGAAACTAGAGAAATTGCCAAACCCATCCTGAAATTCGCATGAACTTGGAGATTAAAAAGAAGCTAATCTTTCGAACCAATAAAGAGTGTGGGTGGATAACAAGAATGACTTGGTAAATGTGACTAAAATAGAAAAATTCGAGACATTTGGAATCAACAAGTAGCAGCATTTCGTGGAAAGTGGCAATTAACACTTGAAACAGAGAAAAGAGACCAAGGAGAGAAAGTTGGTCGCCTACTTATTTTTCTTATTCTTTTTCCTTTTGTGTGTCTCTCTTCTACATATCATACGATATGATGTCTTGCTGATTTATTTTAACTTATTCCACAACAATCACATACACTTGAAACGCAGCTGTCAAAAAAATGGAAAATTATTGGGTTAATAAATATTTGGTATTTTAAAAGCAAGGAAAGAATAACAGTAAAAAGAACCCGAGAAGTTGAAAACAAAAAACAGACCTTTCTGCACGGCCTACACGACCAATTCGGTGAAGATAGTTTGCTTTTTCATCCGGTAATGTTACATTAATCACTATAAAATAGTCGATAAAATATGAGATACAACAAAAAAAAGCTGCATACAAACTAATATCACTTGTTTAGAGAATTTTTCCTAAAAGTGAGGGTAGCAATAGTTCATAAGTAATCTCGGTTTGTACCATAATTTTGTTCCTATGCCTAACGATGACAGCTACTGAATATTTCTTGAAGAAGTTTTTGTTGATACAATCAGTTATCACTCATGTTCAGTTGGTAATAAAATTATAGGGAAGAAACAAACCAAATGGAATGCCTTTCACATCGATACCACGTGCAGCGACATCAGTGCAAATGAGGAATTTCGCTTTTCCTTTCTAAAATTAATTTCATTTCAATAAAGAAAGGAAAATATCCTTTCAGAAAAATTGCATATTCGGAGTTTTATCCGAAAAGCTCACATTTTTCTCAAGAGATTTCTTTTGCAGAAGTTTTAACGAAATGATATATATTTAAATCAGCAATCAACCTTAAACGCATCCAAATTTCTTGTTCTTTCATCGGGTCGACGATCACCGTGTAGACAAACACATGTAAGATCTGAATG